GATTTATGTAGCATTAGTAATTTGATTGATTTGTTAGGATCTGTTTCAAATTCATTAAGATACTCTTTGGTGATTTCATGTAATGAAGTAAGCACGCAAGCTTTGGTAAAAGGAGATTAGGGGAGTTTCATATTGGGAGTTCAAATGTGGCTCATATCATGTATCTTCACCCTTTGCAGTATTACTTTGATCCAACCTCAGGACGCAGATTCAGGTCGAAGAAAGAAGTGCTTAAGTTTCTAGGAACTGGAAACTCAACTAATAAGAAGAAAGGATTGGAGAATTCTGATGCTGGCAAGAATGTGAGTCTGAAACTTAACCCCCTTTCGAATTGAAAAATGCTAAAGTTTCAGCTCTTGCACTTCTTTTGTTTCTTGTTAAATGCTGAAGTTGTTTTCTGCAGTCTCCTCCTGAGAGCTCTGCCCGCAAGAAACGTATGAAGGATCCTGATACCAAGGCAAAGACTTCTAACTTTGATTTCTACAATGTGCCCGAGAAGATCAGCTGGGTGTTAACAGATGCTTCTAGAGATTGTTGGACTCCCTTCATTGGGGATGAGAAGGTGGCTGAATCTGATACACAAGAATGGCCTGCTGCCTTCACACACCTAACAGTTGGCAATATTGGTCAGCCAATGCATTGACAACATAAACAATCTACCTCCACTGTCTTTGCTGTGTGCATGGTCTTATACTGACTGCTGATAATTCCCATCTTATGGTCCAATTTTGTTTTGCTATTGTTGATTGTTAGTTGATTTGATTAGTTGTATTGGACGTGCTCACCAGAGGATCTACAAAAGGCCTTTGATGACTCTATTAAGAATTCATCTAGTCCCGCCTTTACAAGAGAGGGACACTGAATGTTAATATGGTGATTCTGCTCTGGAAAGTGAAGCTACGAAATCCTAGTAATATATAAATTGCCATCTGGACAAATGAATTCGACTTTTTCCACATTGCATTTATATAATTACATTGTAAAATTATCAAACGATGCTTTCTTATTAGTTTCAAGTTGGAATTCTCTTATAATCTAGAGAGAAACATCAATTTATTAGAAAAAAAAAATTATAAAAAGAATTTTTTATTTTATTATTTGGACGGCAAAATATGACCTATAGAGTATATCTCTCAATATCAAGAGTTTCACCTTACTTAATGAAAAGTGTTAAGTTGAATGACTTTTTTTTGTTCATTTGAGAATAATTAGTTATAATTTTTTTTCTTGAACTTTTAGACATGAGATTGATTCAAAACCCGTCTAGTGAAGGAGGTATGCACTTTTTAATAGTTAGTGTCATTGAGTCTCAAGGATCAAGTGCAAAATAATTAGTTATATAATAAGTTATAATTTTTATTTTTTCACTTTATCTCTTTTCACCTAATTCAAAATTTAAATTTAAGATTTTTAACTTAAAATCTTAAATTATTAACTATTGAAGTACTTTCTCGGAGTCTTTACACTAAATGATAAGTATTATATAATTTAATATATGTATATTTTTTATATTAGTTACATAATAAAAAATAATTATTTTATATTTTTATCTTATTTTATTTATATATCATGTTACTTTTTGAGTCAAATTCAAAATCTTTTCCTTATGGTAAAAGAACCTACAGAGAAAAGAGATTAACACTTAAATAAAGTTGCGATGGCTTTGTTTTTCATACAAATAGTAATTATATATGGTAGGGAAGGGATAATATCGTAATTATGAGGATGACTTCTTGTCCACTCACTAGGTCGCAGTCGCACTATGATATAAAGGGTGTGGGCAGCAGCTTCAAGAGATCCATCTACGAGCTTCGATCGTCTCTTAGCCGTTCTCTCGTATCTCGTTTTTATCGACGGAATCAAAGACTTCGGAAGTTATGGGTCGTAAATTTTTCGTCGGCGGCAACTGGAAATGCGTATGAATCTCTTTTCGTACTCAGCTTTTTCTTTATTTCCTGGATTAAGTTCTGTTTTTAGTGATGATTGGGTGATCCATGCGATTCATCCTGTGTAGTAGTAACATACCGTGTCGTTTTTTGGATTTGTTTGGTTTTTCCATGTTGAAGAACTCAGTAAATTTGTTAGATCTAGCAGTATTTTGTACACAGTTAGCTGCTGACTGCTTTTGAACAGTTTAAGTTTTGAGATCTGATCCTAATTCCTCAGATGAAATGGATGTCAAATTTTTCCTTTAAAAACTGAAATCTTGATTGTTTATTTAGAGAATCAAATACCCATTAAAGTCCCCCATGTAAGATTACCTTTTTGATTATATGGAACCCAGTGATAATATAATTCATTTCATTTGCAATTGATTTATGGACCTACTGTGCATTAAAGTGGGAAGTCAATTTGAGTTAAAACACAACTGATGGGGTGTAAAAGAAATGAATTTTTGGTGAAAACGTAGCAAGTGTGATAATTGATTTGAGTTTAATCTTTGTGCAGAATGGAACAGGTGAGGAGGTGAAGAAGATTGTTACCACAGTGAATGAAGCTGAAGTCCCTTCAGAGGATGTTGTTGGTGAGATTTGGCTAGCAGTTTTCACTTTTATGTGGAATGAATTGCATCCTACTGTTTCGATGTGGCTCTTAATATTATAACTTTAATTAAACATAGGGCTTGAAGATTTACCTAGCACAAATTTCAGAGGTTATATTTTATTTAAAGTTGCCTAATTTGTATTGTAACCCTCACTTGCATGCTTGTTTTCCCTGTTTCGTGGTTTATGTGTGGCATGCAATATTCGCTATTATCATCCTTAGTGTGTGGCATCTCTTGCTGAGTAATGATGAAATGAATTGTTCTGAGGTACTGATTTCCATTTTTTTCCTTACCTTCCTGCAGAGGTTGTTGTGAGTCCTCCATTTGTTTTTCTTTCTCTTGTGAAAAGTTTGCTGCGGTCTGATTTCCATGTTGCTGCTCAAAATTGTTGGGTCCGCAAAGGTGGTGCTTTTACTGGAGAGGTTAGGTATGTTTGTTTGAGTTATTGTCCCTTTTTTACAGCTCTTTCTGTGCCACAATAATTCAAATGGTTTTGTTGGTAGCCAAGCATACCAGATAGAAACAATGTTTGTATTTCATTGGTAGTCTGCTTTCATACCAAGGGTTTTTTAATGATTTATGGTGTGTAGTGTGTACAACCTGCTAACTTTAGGTTACAAAATTTTAGACTGAGTGTTAAACCTGAAGTTGATGGTTTTTCTTTGAACAGTGCTGAGATGCTTGTTAATTTGGGCATTCCTTGGGTTATTCTTGGTCACTCTGAGAGAAGGTCTCTCTTAAATGAATCAAATGAGGTAAGTTACAGTAGGTTCCCATTTATTCTTTTCAATTTTTCAGATTCAAGTGCTTATTTTGTTGTTGCTATGCCTAATGTTCATTTATCGTCCTCATTTGCTTGTCTGCGCACTATCCAGTTTGTTGGAGACAAAGTTGCATATGCACTTTCCCAAGGCTTGAAGGTGATTGCTTGCATTGGAGAGACTCTTGAACAGCGAGAATCAGGCTCTACCATGACAGTTGTTGCTGCACAGACCAAAGCAATTGCTGGTACTTAAAGCAAATTTTTGTTTTCAAGATGTCTTGGTATCTTAGGCCCGGGAATTATGGTTAGAGTTGATTCTGTAGTTGTGGCCTATAGGGACATTTATTTAGCCACATAGGTTAGCTCATTTTAAATTTTTAGGTTTTTATAATCTTTTCTTTTCTAGGAGACTATACTAAAGATCAACTATTGTTGGTGTTTTGCAGATAAAGTCTTAAATTGGGCAAATGTTGTTTTGGCTTATGAACCTGTTTGGGCCATTGGTACTGGAAAAGTTGCAACCCCGGCTCAGGCACAAGAAGTAAGTTTGGGTTTTACCTATATTTGATTTGACAAGGATCTTCACTATAACAATCATGTTTAGTTTAACCATTTTAAGCAATTATCCTATAATTGGCATAAAACTTTCTATTACCTCAAAGACTCCTTGAAAATAGATATTCGTTGTTTACGTCATTCCATATAATTAAGTAGTCAATAATGAGTTTTTGTGGTGCTGATTTTATGCAACAGAGGTATTGAAAAGATGGTAAAATAGGTCAAATTTACTCAGGTCTTGGGTTCCTACTTTCTTGCTATGTTAAAAAGGAAAAACATACGGAAGAGCAGGTTTTCTTTTGTCTATTAATGGTAATTTTCAACTATTTTTTAAACATGTACTGAAAAAAGATTTGTTTTTGATGCACCAATTGAGGCTTCTCTGAACTGGACAAACACTCATGGAAAGAAACAGCACACATACTTTTCTGATAATAGTTTGATAATGAACCTAAACCATAGTCAGCACATACAATTCTTATATCTGAAATCCATATTTCTCAGCTTTCCTTTTGTTTGTTTTCTTTTAACAGATGGTGAATTGTTTTTTACAGGTCCATTGTGAATTGAGAAAATGGCTTCATGAAAATGTCAGTGCTGAAGTTGCTGCTTCAACAAGAATCATCTATGGAGGTATTAATTCTAGCTAATTCCCTTAAGGCATCAGATACAGATAAAATACCTCTTAGATGACTATGGATTTTATTAAACCTATTTTAGTGAGAAATTTAACTTTATTTTTACTACCCTTTCAAAACAGAGGCTGAAAATTTAACAAAATTTAACTTCAATAGCCGCATAAACTCTCAAATACAATTTTTAGTGCCTAATGTTTGTGTTTGAGCATTCTGCACTTGAGCCACCTGACCAGTTTTGAATCTGATTTCGCATCTACTACGTGTCAACTATAGGTTCTGTAAATGGTGTAAACTGCAAAGAATTGGCTGCACAACCTGATGTGGATGGATTTTTGGTCGGTGGAGCCTCCCTAAAGGTATTTTGGTGAACTTCTGGTTTTAGCTTCATAACTGTGTTTTTGTTTAATTATTTTTAACAGCAATGCTTTCCCTTTTTTTTCCCTTCGTTTTTATTCCATTAGCCGGAGTTCATTGACATTATCAAGTCAGCCACTGTGAAGAAGAATGCTTGAAGTTCAGTGCTAGAAGCCAAAGCTGTTTGTTTAATCTCGTAGTAGTTGTGTTCTTTTTAAGGAACAGGATGATAATGATTTCCGTGAGGAATAAGCCGGATTTTTGGTTTTCTGAACTTAAAATGCGTTTTTGTTGTAGTCTAGAGATCCTGGCTCGGAGCCTTTGGACATGATATTTTGTGCTTCCCGGAGGGCTTAATTTAATAAACCATCTATTAACTATTAATTTTTTTTCATTTTAGCCTAGATATTTTACTTTTTTTCAAACTCATCTATTAACTTTCAAAACTGTTTCATTTTCATCTACTCTTACATACCTCCATTAACTATGTTAACAAAATTCTTCATATGGGATCATGTGCTGCCATGTAAGCAGCCACATGGCAGGAGCAAATTTCAGGCAGTAGCATTGTCTCTTTTTCACTTTATTTTTTGGCCACATGGTAGGAGCAAATTTGCTACGAAGATACAGATTTAAGTATAGAAATTGAATTCAACAGGTCATGGTAGAACAAAATTAATCCCAGAAACAATTTCATCAAAGAACGGACTCTTTCACTCAAAGCGGCCATCAGTGCAAGCATTTCTCGAAGGAAATTAGTCTTCAGAATAGGAGCAATGTTTTTAGGTTCGGTCCGGTGATTGACTCGTTTTGGTCATCAGGTCTGATTGAATCGGTTGAATTGGTTCACTCGATCGGTTCAATCTATCAAATAAAAAAACTTTTTTTTTTTACATATGTATTATATTTTATTATTGTATGTTATATTTCTGTTCTGTGAAGAGGAAGAAGAGGATCTGTGCTGCTACTGCTACTCAGCTTGGTGAAGGAGAAGCTGCTGCTCAATTTGCTGAAGGGTTGGAAGGGGCTACCGGCAGTGGTGGTGCAGAGCAGATGCAGATTTGTTCTGCTGTTGCTGCTGCTCAGTTCGGTGAAGGGCTGGAAGGGGCTACCGGCAGTGGTGGTGCAGAGCAGATGCAGATCTGTTCTGCTGCTACTGCTTCTGTTCAATGCTGTTGCTCTGTTCAGTGAAGGAGAAACTGCTATTGTTCAGTTGAATAAGGTAAGGAATATGAGTCGCGAAGGGCTGGAAAGGTTGCCGACGGTGGTGGTTGAGAGCAGGGAGGTCGGTGGAGGAAGAGGATCTGTTATGTTTCTTGTTCTTCTTCTTTTTATTTTTTGTAGTTTTTTTGGAATGGCGACTGCTGATTTTTTTTCTTTTTCAGTTTTGACCTTCAATTAGGGTTTTTATTTGGTAATCTTAATTGAAGTTTAAGGGGTTTTTATGAAGAAAATATCAATCATGCAAGCCCCTAAACCACTCGATTTCTGCAAATTAATCCTTCATCTAACGGCGTCCAACATGTGCAGTCAGTGTGACACTAATTATTGTTTGTTTGG